CATATTACTTTAAAACCAACCCCACAGTCATATTAATCTAGGTTAATCATTGGCATCTAACATGGACTCATCCATCAGCCCACTTTCCAATCCTGTTTTTCATGTTTGTGGCTCGAGGGTGTGGTGAGAGGTACAGACTGTCCTCCCGCAGTAATAAGGTTGCAGCAAGCGGAATGTGCAAACCACTGCATCACCATATATCCCTAATCTGGGCTCAAAGATTCAGATTTTACATGACTGAAACTGTGATGAATCCAGAGTGTTGCTACGTCTTATTTATTTATTTATTTATTTATTTGTTTAACTATTATCATTTTCTCAAACAGTTTTATAACATTTTTCATTGTTTTTAAATATCCAACCATGATTTGTAAGAACTGTGACAGAAAATCTTTATCATGCAGTGACATTTTTTTGCTCTCAAAGCTCAGGGGAGGATTTGAACCTCTTGTTTTTGCCAGTATTTACTTGTGACCTAAATCTTAGAAGATTGAAGTTGATTAATTACAATATAAAGATGAACAACTATGTGTTTTTAGTTTTTTGTCTTTTGAAGGAGACAATAAATGTATATATTAAACATTATACAGACATAATTACAATATATTAAAGTAAAATAAAAAGCAAGTGTTTCCATTTGACTGTTATAGATTTAGGAGGCTTTAGATGCAGCTGCTGAAGGTCAGATTCTGGGCTGGATTTGGATAACGAGGGGCACTCGGTTAGTAAATCAGGTCAATGGACCTGATCCAATATAATCCACTCTAATCTCATGGAGTACTCAAAATGGGAGATTACTTTAGTGATTTACTTTAATTGCAATGGTTAAATCCTGATTTATAACAGTGACATGAATAAAGTCAAGATCAAAATTGTACATTTAGTTTCTGTGAGTCTAATCAGTTCACACCTTATAAATTGTATTGTGTAACATGATATATATTTTTGGTTGTTTTGTTGTGAAAGTTTAAATGTATCAAAGTTTTTATAAGCAAAACTATTCAGGTGATAGAGTTCACCAGCTATGAAATTGTACTATTTGATATCATTGCTGAAAGAACACAAAGAAGCATTATAACAAATACAAGCTCTGGCTGGTTGCAGTTCTGTGAGGATGAAACAAAAATAAACCAATAATCCCAAACAAAACATCCATTCTTTTGACCAACACAATACATTAAAAAGATTGAAGGCTACCAGAAATCACTGAAATCTGTGCACAGCTGAGAGTTCTCAGCAAAACAACAAAAGCTTGGCTATTAAAGAACAAGGTGGTCAGTAAAATGGTAATATTTGTTATATGTGTCGATATTATTATCAAATGTGATTTTTGACAAAATGATTTATTTTCAAAGTCTTAGGAAGCCAGGTCTAATTCAGCTCAAGATATTTCTCATTTACATTCCAGAGCCTACAGTTTAGGTTGTAAATCTCATAAGATTTTATGACTTTTGTCAAGCAGCTCTCTATTGCCAGAGGAAAAGTAAAAGTGCAAACAGAAAAGAAAAGCATTCGCTGAAAAATAGCCTCTTAAAATTATTCTTCAGCTTCTTGTCTTCTGCCTATTCAGATTCAGTATGGCATTACAGATCCAAAAGAAGAAACACTTCTTTCCATCATGGCTCCACTATATTCCAGAGACTGATCTTAATGGCATGCATGTGGTAAACCTACAAAGCACCCAAGAGGCCTTCTGATCAGATGGGCAAGCCACCTAAACTGACCCCTTTTGATGCAGAGGAGCAGTGGTTCTGGTCTGAAGAAAACGAAGAACATAGCTCCTAACACTTTACTAGCATGAACCCTGTGGTGTTGGAAATTAGTATCCAAAACCCTACCCTTTTTGGTAATGAGCAGCATCTCATGACCATCAGTGAAAATCAAAACATGGACAGTCGGGTAAAGCAAAAGCTTTGATTTTTGGTTCCAAAACCCAGCTTTAGACACCCTGGATAAAAAAATTTAACAAAATCTATCTTAGGTCAATCATCTTAAAGCCAACTCTTTCCTGCAACTTGGTTTCCTTGAAAGTCATATTAGGTCACAAATGACAAAAATACAAGGCTTTTATAAATTAACAACCTCTGTGTTCCTTTTTGTTTGGCTTAACATGTTTCTCAAAATAATTTTTTAGCAAGAGATGTTTGATTGTGAAGCATATTTTCCATTGTCTATCAAAATTCTAAAAGATTTCTTTCAACAAATTATTCTGTTTGTCAAAACCACAATGTTGTACCTTAACATGTAGGCTAACTCAAGCTCTTTTTATAAATTTGGTTTAATAAACCAAGTAATTTTAAATTTCTCTGTCAGTTCATTAATTTGGTACTTAAAAAAGAATTGTTAGTTCGTAAAGGAGGGATCATGTGATTTATCCTTAACACTTAAGTGTCAAGCTCTTTTTCTTTTGAAAGTGTGAACATAAAACATAAGTGCATTTTATTAGTACCTTCAGTTGAAAATAAACAATGATTCCACTGTTCCTGTGTTGTAATGTATAGCAAAGCATGCTCATTGTATTGTATCCATTTGTGGTAGCTTAAAAAGTACATCACTCCACATGTTACATATAATAATGCAATTATCTGACAGTGGTTGAACAGCAGAGAATTTTTTTTTTATTCAGACTGAGGGCATAGTTTTTATAAGTGACAATCTGCATATGTGTTAAGCCTCAAATTGCTTTAATGTTCAGATGAGAATGCACTTGTATGATGAAAGCAATTGGTGGAAAGATCCCTCTGAACAGGAGATATTTCATCAATCTTTAAGAGTGATTCAGTGCCACAGGTCTTCTAATACCTAAATTCAATGCCGGAATGGGGATGATGTGATGCTCAGGGCATGCATCTGAATTATTGAGCTTTACTGCTGATTTTTACCCTTCAATTTGGTTCAGCAATCTCAGACTGAAACGAGGAAAATTACATTTTTCTAGCCCACTTTTTCAGAATGACATTTTACCAACTATATTTTGCTATGAAAGTAAGGTGAATCACTGATTTTAACAACAGTGTCCTGGTGATTTTCTCTTTAATTATGTTGCCCTTTAGAGCATGTTTGGAAAAAAAATTGCGTGTTGTCCATTCAAGTCCCTTTCCTCAGACACTGCTAATAAGATCCAGTGCCACCAATTGCCTTGAAGTCATTTAATTGCTACACTGTCCATCTGGCTGTGATTTAACCTCAGAATGAATACAACTGTTCTGTGAGGGTGTCAGAGGCTTGTTAGAGAACAAACAGCTTCGAAACCAATGAATACACCAGACAGCGAAGGAGTGAAGCTGCGGGGAAGTTTAAATCAGGGATATGTTATGTTAAAATATTTCAGTTGTAAAATATTTAAGCAATCATCTGAAGATTGAAATTAGGGAAGTATCTAGATGTAGTTGTCCAAATGTGGCTGAAAATGGCCCAAAAAAACAAAACAAAAAAAAAAAACAAAACCTGAAATTCTTTTGAATATAAAAGTAAACAAGCTATGCTGTATTCATGTTTTTTTTTCTTATGAGAAATTTGAATTTCTGCAACATAAAGGCATCACAAGAAATAGTAAAAGCTGTTTTCTGGTCTGTTGTTTACCCGAATAGGGAATTCCCTTCTTCTTTTTCATCTATATAAAATTCCCAAACTATGTTTTTTTTTCAATTTTGATTTAAAATCCCACACAATTTCATTATATGTTTTGGTTGTTGCACAATAAAATGTGAAAGGTCAGATGAAGTGAATGAATGACTTTATGGATGTCCATTTTTGTTTTTGTATTGTTGACTAGCTCCATCATTGCTTACCACAAGAAAAAAGTCCTTCTAGTTCAAATTGATCAGACAAGTCAGTGATCACTCACCTTTTGATGTAAAGCTTTCTCTGCAGCAAGTGAGGCTGCAGAGGCTGACTGTTCCCCCATCTGTCCCCATGGCCTCTTTCTGTAGTGCTTGGAGTGCTCTCCATGAGCCATATGCAGTCAGTGTGATTGTACGTGTGATGTCTTTGATTAAATCCCTGTTGCTACTGCTAGCTTCAGTGGAACATCTAGTCTTTATGCTGTGCAGCTCCATCTGTGCAGTTTTTCTGATATGGATGCTTTCAATAGCTTTTCAAGTCAGATTGTTATATCGACTCATCTGATTATTGCTCCAACTTCAGAGAATGAGATTAAAGATTATATTTGTTCTACCTAATGTACCATGTTTTGTTTGTCTTATTGCAATTATTTAAATAAAACAAGGCTTTTAATGGACAACAAGCACAGTGATCAGTTCTAATGACTGGTACTCTGTTGAGTAATTCCCATGAGGAAAATGCATATTGTGGACCTGTTTGATTTATTTGGTTCGGTGTTGTGTTTTATTACTTTGCAGTTGCCAGACAATCATTGATTGCGGGTCTGCTATAAAAGAGTGTAGCTGTCAGCACCATCGCTGTGATCTGAGCTCTCCCTTGACACTTCGGCTCGCTCTGTTTCCTCCTCACAGGCTTTCTTTCATTCTTGCAGGAAGAAGAGGGGATGTTTGTTCAATTCGTATTGCCATCACTCTATTACATTACACCGGTAGTAAATGTATTCTCTCTTTGAGGTAAATATTGATTAGAGCCAGACAAACATTACACTCCCTTTTTTGTACTGCCTGTCTATCATGCATTTTTGTTAATGTCTAATTGTCTTTGTTTAATCTTTAGCCATTGGAATACATAGCTCATTTTTTGTGTGCTGTCTTTAGCTCAACAAACCCAAGTTCAACTTCGCACTATTTTGTGTGAATGTGTGAGTGTGTGTTGTGTCATTTCAGGTTTATGTTCCTTTGGTTCTTGTTCAAAGAACATTTTCAGAGCAAACTTGTTCTGTAAAACTACATACAGATAAAAACATAGACTGTTTCCTCACCAAATGACATTAGATCTCACTAAACGTTACCTGCCCAAGGTCAACGGGATCAGAGAAAAATGTAAATTGCTAAATGTCAAGGTAAGGTACCTTTTTTTTTTATGTTTTAGATAAATTTGTATTACTTTTACAATTAAAAAATAACAAGCATTTGATTTGTATTTGGTTGAGTTGCATTTTAACTGTTTAGCTTAAATTGGGACAAACATTTTGGATATTCTTCCACAAACTTCTCCAGATAGTTTTCTGGAAATCAGGCCAATTCCTGGTGAAAGAACTAATATTACCATGGTCATTTTTAAGCTTTGTCCATAAATGTTCTATTGGAGTAACATCAGACCTTTGTCACATTTCCACAATGTCTCTAGTTTTGTGGTATGTTTAAGTAATTGTACATTTGAAACACCCATTTTTGCCCAAACAAATGGGTCAAATTCTTTATATTGTACTGGTAAAGATCCCATACAGTTGATATTTTTTGTCCACAATCATATCTACTTTGTGTCATATTTATAAAAATACTTTTTGATGTATACATTTCCATTGAAGGAAAAATATTAATTTGAACTGATGTTGAACATGTTCTATCATTTACAGGAAATCCATCAGTTTTAGGTAAAAAAGAAACAGAGAACAAATAAGGGGGGATAGCCGGGAGGGCTGAATATGTGTTCCATTAAAAGTCAAAATACACATAAAGTAGATCATTTTGATGTATGGGTCATTGATTTTCCCCATCACCCAATTCTGAGAAGTTCATCATTCATGACTGTGTTACTAATTGATCTTTATCTCAAAAGATATTAAAAATAAGCATCCATGATTTGATGAATTTGCTTTAATCAAAGAAAAAAAAATATACAAAAGTTCCTTTGCCAAAAGCCTACTTTTAATTAGTTAAACTGAGTTGATGTCCCAGAAGCATGTTTCATTTCTCTTCGGGTGACGGGGGTTACCACTTAAATTCACATTCTAATGTGTCTTCTTCCACCTCAGTGATTTTGCTGTACAGACCACCGTCCCCCTCGGGTGCTCAGGTATGTGTGGAACAAAATGGAGTCCTAATTGAAAATGATCACCGAGAGAAGCAAGAGCCGCAGGGTCCCCTAATGATCAAGGCATGGATCAGCTGGAGCCTCCTCAGCCTCCCATAAAAGGATTTCAGAGCAGATGACACAAGTTACACTGTGGAACCAGTGGGTACGATGTGCAAACTACATGGTGGAAAAGAAATGAATCACAGGGAATGAGCAGCAAGAATCAACACATTAAACTTTTCATTTAGAACATTTTGCATGTTAAGCCCTCTGGTCAAATGTTTTATTTATTTATATTTTTGAGGATAGAAATTATGTTGAAAGCAGTAAGAGAATGACAACTCCACTTCAAAACCATAACTTTTTTATGTTGGAGTCATTTAGAGGTGGATTTGATGTTTGTCTTAAATCATTGTACTGCTGCATAATGCAAATAGTATTCGGCTCACGGTCAGTAATTAATGGCAACCTCACTACTGGTGAGTCCAAAATTCACTAATACCTAACAAAAAGCTCCATATTTGTCTTACCAACCACAGAGTTTTTATTTTTTGTTTGTTTGTTTTGTTTTGTTTTGTTTTGTTTTTCGGGAAAACTATGGAATCATAAAGTTTTTGGGCAAATGTGAGATGAACCTTTCTTTCCTTTTACAGAAGCTGTTTCCTTTGGTTGCCAAAAGTATCCCTTATGTGATGTTAGTTTTCCTAAGTCTTTATTAATTGATATTGAATCATGAACAGTGACTTGATAAATGAAGTTCCTGTTTTAAACGCTACAATTTGTCATCACTAAGCCCTTCTTTGATTTAAAAAAAAACTGTTAATCTGAAAAAAAAGAGCAAAAATAAAGATCTGTAAGTGAGTATATGTGTACACAACTCTAAACTGGTTAAGAAAGTTTTGTTTTGTTAAACAACACTAATTGTCTTGTCAAATGCTCCACTTTTATTATAATGTAAGAAAAAAAAACCTAACATTTTATTTCTATGAATCCTGAAGGTTTCTCTGTAATATTTATATGGACTTTGTGCCCTGTGGAGATATTTCGCTTGCTGTACTTTTCAAAGGGAACATAGTTCGCCTTTGGAAGGAGATTGTACCTTGTACCAATGCCAACACTGAACCATACTTATTGTGGAAATCAAGGCAGTTTGTCCTCTATATTTCCAGGTTGAAGGACATAAAATGCTCTGACCAAAAGGAATTTTAAATCTTATTCAGGATGAACTTTTCAGGTTGTTAAATCTCAATCTGATGCAGAGTCAAGGTGCACAATTTCCAAGAAAATGCACTTCTGGTTGTTTGGTTGTGAAAGGGTACATTGCAGCCTCAAGATAGCCAAATATACAGTTTCAAGAGGATTCCTGATTCGACACAATATACATACTCATCAAACAGAACACAATGTTCCATGAAAATAACATTTTCATCTTCTTTTATTCTAATAGAAGAAAAAAGGGACTGATTGTGTGCCAGTCAAGACATAACAGCTTCTTTGTCTTGAAGTGATTTTCTTTGAATTGTTGTTTTCTCTAAAAAACATAGTAACTATATTACAGGCATACAATTTAGTCCTTTGTCTGCATTGTTCTAAAATTGTGTGTCCTATTAAATAACTGAGGTTAGCAACACATTTCTGGAACTGAAGAATAAAAGGACAGTTTTGAAAGAATTGTGTTTCCAACAGATTACATGGACATTATGTTGGAAACATTTGTTGGCACAAAAGAAACACGCCTCCTGTGGCCATGTCCAATATTTTTACTTTCTGCTCTCTTGTTTTGCTTTATGATTTGACCAATAAGCTCAAATAATTTTACCTTAAAATCATATTTGTTGGATTAAATTTAAATCAATGTAATTGTCAAAGAAGATCCTTGAGACTTTGGATCACAGTGAAAACACAGTCTATTGTCTACTGCTTCCATTATGTTGGAACATGAGCCATTAACCTTTTTTTCAATTTTTTTTCTTCTGCACAATTGATTGGATTTGTGCAAGGGACATATTTTGGTCTGAAATATCCCCTTATTGACAGAGCATATTAATAATTTTTCCTTTTAAAAATGCACTATTTCATTATCATGAAAAATCCTTTCAATAATTGACAGACTTTGTAAAAATTCAGTTTTTTTATTAAGTTGGAGAATTTTTATAGGTTCCTCATACGAACAGATATTTTTGACGTTTGAAGATGTTTTTATTTTAAACAATAAACAATCACAAAATGAATAAACAGAGCCTGGGATAAAATAAAATGTGATTTGAAAAAAATAAGTGCAATTTTATTATTTTAATTTCAGTTGCTGTGCATGAGAGAAAGAAATCCATAAGAAGCTACAATCCAGCAGTAGTTTACGATGTGTGGATTTGACCATAAGGTGAGAACAAAAAGTCTTCAATGGTGACAAATGTCTCCTAAAACTTTCATGATGAACATGATGCCATCTGGCTCTCTGCCTGTTTCAGACTCCATTGCTTCTCTGTGGAAATTGAGACCATTTGGCAAGGCAAAAAGACACTCTTGCTCATGTCCCCTAACCCATCAGTCTGTTCACACTTTTAGAACAGTGTTGAGTCACTTACTTTGTCTTTGCATCAGCTGCTTGCAGGTTTTCCCAGAGCACATCCTGCTGACAAGCTGAAGCAAACAGACATTTTGCTGGTCATAGTGCCAAGCCTAACTGAGGGCAAACCTTCACAATTTAAATTGCAAACAAAATCTTTATGAGTAATATATTTTGCCTTCCTCTTTGTTAGAAATACACATAGTATACATGTATTATATAGTTTTATGAAGTTTATACGTTTATATGCTTCATATTCATATTGTCTCATGAATAAAAGTCTAATGAGGAAACATTTTCCTTCTTAGGTTTTGTGTTTTCAGTTACCATATTTCCACATTTGAGCACTGCCCTGCATGGATTAATAGTTCAGTATCTTACTGTTTCGATCATGGTGTAACTTAAGGTTCACTGGTTTCTTTATTGGTATGTAGTTTATTTAGACAAAATAAACAGACTGGCATTTTCTTTGACTTTTCTGAACTGTGACTATTTTACCCATTTGGTATTCCATGTTCCCTTCCCTTGGCCAACACTTGCTCCAGATTGGTTCAACAGTAACATTTGAAAAACAAACTAGAGTGTCATTGTTCATTGTTTTCATTAAAAGTTTACTACCAATTAAAAGTGTCAAACCTGCTTTTGTCTACCGCTAGATCAACATTTTACATACTTAAACTGATGGTTTTGAACCTCAAAGAGGTTCAAAATGAAATCTATTCATATTAGATTTCATTTTGCTAAAACACTGCTTTTCACTCAGAGATATATAGATTTTACAACCACCTCATGGGGAGCAATTTCCTAGTTTATCATCTGTCTACTCCGAAGAAAAGAAGGAAAGAAAAATAAAGAGATTTCTCACCAGGATATCAGTGTTTGTATCCTGGTTGCCTCTGTGAGATAAATTATCTAAATAGAGAGAACAGAAGATTTCTACTCACTGTGTTTCCCCAAAAAAAGTTTAATTGTTATTATTCTTCCTTCTTTTTGTGATATGACTTGCCGTTTTCCTTAATTCATTGTCTGCTCACAGAGCATGCACAGTCACAAAAACCATGGTTGGAACATACATGTACAGAGAAACCTACTGGACTGCTGGGTGGAGGATGTACAGCTTCTGCAAGTCCTTTTAGACCTCAGAGCATTTTAAAAAAGTATGTACATTTTAATATTTTCATGTCAGATTTACCATGCATATTCTCCACTGCCAATGTTAGACTTTAATGGAGATATAACCTTTAAAACTGAAAAGTTCAAAATTGAATTTCTTTCCCTGCAGGCACCAACCAACAATATGATTACAAAGGAGAAGAAGCCAAAGTTGTGCAAAGTTTTCAAAATGTCAGGTAAATGTCATAAATGATCTCTGTTGTAATGGCTTGTCTGTATTTTCTTTGCATTTCATCTTGGAGTGTGATTTTTAAAATAGTAATAGAGTTCCTTCCTAACATCACCCTTCAACTTATGTCATGTCAACGTTGAAAATAATGGGTTCCTTTTCAGAATAAACCCAGGGCCATAGATTTATGAAAATTATTTTCAGCCTTTCTACATTATCAGAAAATGTCATAACTGCTTTTGTTTTAGACACTGAGCAGAAAACTTGCATAGACAATGACTCCTATGTTTTTGTTTTTTTTATGTTTCCAGCTCTTTCGCAGTTTCCTGTTTATTTCTTTCTTCAAGAGAATCACCCTCAGCAGCCAGACTGCACATTCAACTCAACACACAACCCATGTGCAGTCTTGTTTATTCTCATCTTCAGCTAATTCGCCTACTCGACCACGTTTGGTTGCTCACTCTGCTGTCCTTCAAATCTCCTTTATCTCTCCAGTTTTTCCTGTGGAACACATGCACTCTCCCCAAAGACTGCACACTGTTGCTCTGCCTGCCCTCCTGTGTTTTTAGCAATTTGGACCTTTCTTCGTCCAGTCAGCCAGCACTCAGTGTCTGAAATTCCAGTTTTTGTGGCTTTGCCTTAAGGTCTTTTCAATGTTGGGTCAAAACAATGCAAAGCATTTCTTGAATACAATTAAATTCACTTCAATTCATTTGAAATACAGCAAGAGTTTTTTTCTCTTTTTTATCAAATTTGCCTGTTTTTTTTTCAAGTAGCCTAATATTCATTCAGTTTTGCTGACAAAGCTAGTCCATATGGTTGAGTCAACTCAATGTGACTAAATGGGAGTGAACTTCAGGTTCTCAAATGATTGTCTAAATGTTTGTTCTCACAAGTAGTCGGATTGGTATGCAGTAATAATATTGTGATTAGTTTAAGAAATTTGTGCAAAAGTGTTTTTGATACTCAGCAACATTTACATCTTTTCACTACAACTTAAAAAGGCAACACATATAAAGATCAAATTTGACTGTGGAGTAACAAGGGTCCTCAGTTAAATATATTAACACTGGGTGGTCACCTGTGATGCACCAAAACCTAATCACATAACTAAAATAAACCTTCAATAGGAATATGGGAGAAATAACGGCCATTACTCCAGTGATTGCATTGACCCTGACAGAAGCTCATTGATCAGATAACAATAAAGCATTTGCCAAAGGGTTCAAACATTGATTGTCAGAGACTTTTAAACAAATGATGAATGATGTCGGTTTTTGTTTGAGCAGATCCATCTCTAAGCTGTGCAATATTTAAATATAGTATATTAACAGTTGCCAAATTATGTTAAAAATGTAATTTAAAAAACATGTGCATGGTAAGGTGTTTGTCTCTGTCTTCATTAGACCTTCTCTTGAATTTATTCCTGTTTGGTTTCTTGGAAAACAAATGTTCCTGACTGATTCTGAGCATAACCTAATTAGGTCTGAAAAGCTATTCCAATTACTGCCTTTTCTCCTGAGTGTCTGTGCCTTTAACATGAAAAATAGCAAATATACAACCAACTGAGCCAAAATTCAAAGCTACTCAAATAAAGCTACTGGTCTTCCTGATAATGTAAAGCAATGTTTGTGCCTGTGAATACAACACAGCCGCACTATATCTCAGGAAATATCTAACTAGATGTCATGAGCCTGTAGTTTGATGTCTAACCTTTAGTTTTACTACGTGGGAAGAGGCATATGCTTTGCCGATAAGTCTTCATTATGAAAAGGTAACCAACATATATTCATCTCATGAAATTGACGAGTTGACCTTAATCTGAGAAGCAGAGGTTGGTTGGAGCTGCGCCACAGAACCTTGTCAGTCACCTCTGTTGTCTGATCATTCCTGCCAGATGTGGTTTGTTGACTTGTTTGATTTCGCCTTAATTTGCAACTGCCTGCAATTATGAAAAAAAAGGTTATCTTGTCATTGTTTGTTGATTATGCTAAGAACTGTGATTTTATCCATTGTCCATTGCAGATTTCCAGTGTGTCACACAATGGATTAACAAAACCTCCATTAACAAATCACATGAATGATTGTAGCAGATCCTTTTGATCAAGGGTCAAAATGAGCTCTCCCTAATTTAACACACCTGATCAAATGATGGCTCATTAGAGGCGTAAGAAGAACACTGACATTCTGAAAAGGTTGTCACTACCACCAAGAAGAAAACTAAAACTGACTTTGGGGACCCCTGCTTTTGATGGTCTGGGGAGCTGTTAAAGGGGCATTCCATCCCTTTTCAAATCACCACTGAAGATACACATCAAGTCCACCACCTTGCAAGGACAAGTGGGTAGGTGATAGGTGGATGGATGGATGATCACCTGTATTGTCCGATTGACTTTGCACCAATGATACATATTGAGCATCCATTTTTCAACAGCAGGAAAGAAAACTTCCCTAGAACAGGAAAAAACCTTCAGCAGAAGCATAGCTTCATTTAAGTTAATAGATGTAGTAGCTTCTTTAGAATCTTTATCCAGGAGACAAACAAATAAGCTCTGATCCAGTTCTCCAGCCTATACAATGAAAAAGAGGTACAGTTAGTCCCAGTAAAAACTCAGGTAATAGTTTTGTCTGGGAGGAAGACAGGGTTAAACACTGAAAGACAACTGTCATCAAGAAAAGAAGAACATTAAACGAATGAAATTAAGATTAATTTTCATTTCATAAATAACTGTCTTTGCAAAAGTTTTCACACATGTTTTTAACTGTTGGAACATTATTAACTAGATTAACTACTTTTGAATTCCCTATTTACCCTAGAAGTATCCTGTTGGCACCCTATAATAACACCCTCCATGGAGCTTTGGAAACATTACTATTAGTATGTTGTAGACACCTCTGTACCCTTTGTGTAAAGGGTACAGTAAATGTTTGGTAAGTACTGCGAAGGTAAATTTGTAGAAAACCTCATTGCTAGGGTTACATCATGTATTTCATTATGTACCACAGTACGTACCTTCTGAGTGAATGATAAAGTAGCCTGCATGTGCCCAATATGTACTCCCATAAATTCCCCAAAGGTAATCCCCCAATAAATATGCCCAAAACCCTATGAAAACAAACCCTCTCAGGAAGAGGCTGCATAATGTGTTGCAATTCATGTTGAAATAAAGTATTCTGCATTTATTTTTATCCCCTCGACTAATTTGATTCAAAACACATTCCCCCTTCTGTCCCTGCAGGTTATCTTCCAGATCCATTCTATTTACAACAGCAACCAATTTTATGTTGTATTATTTGTTTTTGTTTAATTTGGTCATTGTTGCAGATAGAGAGCTGATGCTTTGTGCGGCCCTGAATGGCTGATGGAAATGGGCTGCTCAGCGTGATGCACTGTTATGTCTTTTGCTTTTGAAGGTCTGGGCAGCTGGCCTGAAGAAACAAGAGACTAAAAAGGCTGATTGGACCTTGAGAAGATCTGCAGTGACAGCACATCAGAACCAGCCCCTGGTTTGAAACCACCCATCATGACCACACTGTTACACTCTCAATGTGCAGACATGCACAAGAGGATGTGCAGATATAATATGTTGCACACGCACTCTGTAAAAAAGCTTCTTTTTTACTAAGACTGATTACGTTGGGCAGCTTCTCTCATGAAGTTACAGTGAACATTTACTTTCTTACAAGGTTGGGGCTGATTAATCATTTGCATTTTTTTCTCACATTTAAAAAATGTCTTCCAGACAAAGTGAATTGATTAATAGAAAGAGTTAAATAAGAAATATTCATAATTATTATTAACATTTAATAACAGTAGTAATACTTTGAACTAAAGCCAAAATTAATTCCACCTCCATCTACATCGTTGATTCAAACATGCAGAAAAAAAACAAACGCGAGCTGCTTTCCATGTACAGCCAAACTAGCAGATATGGGAATTTTTCTAGCACCTGAAGTAGATGATGCAAACCTGAGCAGTCCTGATCATAAAAAAAAAAAAAAGAAAATTCCAGGTCATTTAAAATCCAGTCAATTTTCTGTCTTTCAATGCATGCGCACTCACTTCTGACATTTCAGTGGACAAAGAGAGCTGAATTGTGAGTCATTTAATATTATATTGCAAAAGTCAACATTCAGCATGACATATTTCAACAAGGTGGTTAATCCTTTCTTCTGTCTGCATGAAGCTGTGCCCTTTAAGACCAGTTATTATCAACAAAAAATGCTGGTTATGAAGAATAGTTATATGCTACACTGAATACAAAACAATTCCAAGCTTTTTCAGAGATAACATACTGAATCAGTGATAACTGGTGATACAGCAGCAATGATGGCATGATGTGGATAAATACATTCGATAGTGTTGCAGTGGTTGGATACAATTTAGAATTTAGATCAAAATTACCAAGTTGCAGCACTACTTATTGGCAAAATAACCAAATTGCTCATTCTCAGTTAATTTTATATATAACTGTCTGATAAAGCTTAGGTTTTGAAATAATAAATGAAGGCATGAATCAAGCAACTAGTGTTATCTGAATAGCAGGATGCTTGGGTAACCTGTATCTACTACAAGGTTCCTTCTGCAAAATTCTGCACAGACCATTACCAAGGGTTCTTCATTTAGTTGATCAATGCATCATGGTTGCCTGCATTCTGAATCCAAAGCGCCTAGAAATGGAGCTTTCCTCCTCTGTTTTCAACTTCTCAGCAAGGAAAGTGGTTGTAGATTGCCATAAAAGTCACTAAATGATTATCATCTAATTTTCATATTTTATTGAAGGCAAAGGTGCCGCCAGGACTATTGGGTCCCATGAGAATAAATTAGATTGCGCAACTCCAGTTGCAGTTTCTTGAGCCTATCTGACCCATCAAAAGCGTCACAATTTTAAAGGCTTGCACTTGCTTTCTTTGGTCCAATACTGATACCAGCACAATATTTACTCCTAGTGAGTTTTAGATGCAACAGTCCACATACTTCATGCAAATAGATTGCTTATTTTTTTTTATTATTAGTTTTTTTTTTTATCTCATTGAAATGGCTCTTCCCACTTGCAACAGTCACAGACAACATGCACAATATACATAAAACAATCCAGACTTCTCAAAAAATGCTACGTAGTTGCATTTTATTCAAGCTGCAGTATAGAACTTTACTAAAAATGTTTTCCCCATATTTGTTAAAGTTGTCACCATGTCATGACAGTTTGTGAGACAGAAAATCTATGAAAAAAAATCAATCTTCTCTACCTCCTCCCAAAACTACTATTGCAAGCTAAAGTAATGCAATGTTCTGACCAAAAAAAAAACAAAAACAAAACCAGGAGGAGGGTTTTTGTGTTGTTAATCAAATTCATTAACTTACTGTTAAATGTGCAAATGGTGGAGAAACAACTGTTTATCTGCCGTAATTTGACACTGGACATTTATTTTTGTGTATTCAGAGTGCGGTGCTTGTTGGGGCAGACAATATTCTTTGAGATTTGATTTGGCTCCTGAAAAAGTAAAATTCTTCTTCAAATAGTCCCTTTTTCTTGGATTTTTACTCATCGGCCCAGAATTTTACTCTTCTAGCAAGTTTAAGTCTGTTTCTGCTGTGCAAGACTGATATATCCTTGCAGAACAAAGAAATAGTGGAAATTTCAAGAAGGCGAGAATTTTGGAGGTGAAGGGGTAAATT